AACTGAACCACGGTGTAACGAGCCGAGTCACTTTTTAAAAAATTACATTTTGCTGCATTGCACAACAACAACCAAAGCATCAGCTAAAGAACCGCTAATGAGGAAAGCTACACAAAGGCAATGCTGAGCCTTGCTTTCATGTCTTCTCCTCTGGCGCTGATGGATTATTTGGCTAAATATAGAGCTAAAACATGACATAATTTTTATTGTCAAATCATCTTGACAAGCTTGTAAGCAAATGTAACTTCAGACTTCGCGTTCACTGCATCAGATAGAGGTGCAGATATCACTGATTCTTCGCACTCACGGGGAATAATACCTATTAATAACAGCCATGCACAAGGTACTGTAGGGGTAACTTTAAACAGCTTCAAGCTTTAGCACTTTCAAAGAAGGCCCATCAGTTATGGAGGTTTATTTCCATGTAGGTCATTAAGTATGAGCACACAAGCTTTCTCTTGTTAGTCCCTCTGCATTTTTCTTTTCTTGTTCTTTCTCAGCTGCACACTGGTGCTTCTGCAGCAATCTGCATAGAAAGACATTTGTCATCATTAGCCCTGCTCTGACAGTTGGCACCCGGTACCTCAGATCTCTAAGACTGGCAATTATGAACCCTTCATCCCTTATTTAGGCAACATCACCTAATTTCATCACAGGCCTCACCAACAGCATTTGATTACCAACACCCCCAAACCTGCAATATGCCCTCGATTCTTGCATTTCCTTTGTTTTGTGCTTTGGTGTACTCCTACTCCCAGATCACATGACACGTGGGAGAGAGTCGAGTTCATTCAATCTGAGATTTGAAATTACTTATCATACACAAGGGCCGTACAGAGGCCCGCATATGAGCATCATGGGGTCAGTGGGCAGATGATTACAGCACCCACTTTTAGACGGTAGACATCTTGCAGACATTAAGATTAATCACAGCGTTGTTGCTGAATGGCTGCCTTTAAGCACAAACAAGGTGGAAATCAACAATAAAGCAAAAACAAAGCAGCTAAACAGAAATGAAAATAAGTGCATGCTAACATATAAACTGTTCAAGTCTTTATGACCTAAACAAATCCAGTTTCTAGAAATCAACAATAGGAACTCATGTAGAATAAAGTAATAAAAACCAGGTGCCCTAGTTTCCAACACACGAAATGTTTAACAACAAAATACCAACTGCAAACTGCATGCTGATAAAGCGCAGCAGCACTGTCACTGCATCTGGCCAAATGCATAAAATGTGTATGAAAAGGTGTGCCGAGCATTACGTAAGATTGTATGTTCGTTTTAGTAACACAAACCAGGCATTTCTCTGGATTGTTACTTTGGCAAACAAACTTGAATTGTATATATATATATGCAAAATTCATGCAAATACATGCATGTAATTTATCAGCGAGTCTGACAAGCGTACCATATTGCAGAGGGGAGGGGTGAAGGGCCAACTGAAGCTGAGACAATCAATTAAGTTTTATAATTTACACTTTTCTTCATCTCTCTTTTCTCAGAATGCTCCATCAAACCAATACATTTGGTTATTTCTGTGTGCTGAAGCTTACTGCGAACAATGCCTGTTGAGGTTACCGCTAGAGGGTCTCCGGGTGCCCTCTGGCCATGTGCTCCAGCTTCCTGACTTATCCAAATGAGGCTGCTAATACACAGCGGAGAATAAAACAAATGAATGGACACAATCCAAAGGGGGTCCACAGTGAGGCTCCAGGCCCCAAAATTAACTGGCCTCCTACAGAGACACCATATTGCGTGGAATAATAATGCTCCATTATTAAAAATCCCAATGACAATTTCATTTTGTGACAAACAAAATTACAGAAAAATGTGTCAAAGTGAGTGACCATCCCATGAGTATATTATTTCTCACAGTTTGAGGTCCAGCTATGTCACATAGCCGAAGTGCCACTGCTTTTAATCTGATCTGTACAAACAGATGCCATCCTCTTAAGTCCACTTTGGCTAATCCGTACATTAAATCGGGAGCTAGCTGGTTGAATTCCCTTTGTGTGGGAATACTGCTTGAGAGAGTCGTTTTTCAGACTAAAAAAACCCCAGAAACCTAATGAAATTACATGTGTCAGACTTTAGTTGTGTAACTAGATTTTTAATAAAACATCATTCACAATTACAACGTCAGTAAGAGGATTGCTCACCACAGAAATCTTGATCCAGTTTGTGGATCGTATTATTAGGTAATGCAAAAAATTGAGCTGAAACACACACGTGTGATTCTTTAAAACTCTGTGAACAGAGCATTGATTGCTATTTTCCCAATTTAAACTAATTTTCAAAATAATTTTTAATGCATGATGCTGCATAGTGTTTTATGCATGTGTGGTAAATAATACATATCTATACAGCAGCGTAAAGCACGCAAATGACTCTGGCGTCACTTGGTACAACATGATTTCCAGTCACTCAAAGCGGCACTCATCTGATCAAAGGCCAATTATGCAATCAGACGAGTACCACTGAACTTATGCCCATTTATGTTAATATGATGATCGGTCTTTCTAGAAGAAAGGAGAAAAAAAAAAAAGGAGAAAAAATGCATGAGTGTAGAGGCATGCTCTTTGAAAACAAAGAGGCCTTCAAAACAGGGTCACATGCTTGTGCAAAATTAGGGGAAGTAGAAGTCATTGTATTGATTTACACAATCATGCATGTATTTTGCTCGGTCAGAAATAGGCCTGTGCTGGAATCAGAGCCCCATATATCACATTGGAGGGCCTTCAATAGCCTAGCGGCATGGTGAATGAAGCAACAAAGATTGCAATGTAGTAATGGTAAAGATATGGGTAAGGAGACTGAATTGTCTTAGGCTAGACCTGACAACTGCTGGGACTGTCATGGGACTGCAGAGCAGGTTGAGTTACTGTGAGATCTGTGCAACCACATGCTTTAGATTAAGAGGTGATAATCTCAATGAAAATCCTTGCTTCTATCACGCATAGGGACGAAAACTGGAGTACAAACTCAAGAGGTGCAACTGGATTCTGAGGTATCTCACTTGGAGAAAGATAGCCTGGAAAGTGAGCCTAGTCTGGTTTCAATAAAGAACAAGTACCTGCTGAGCTGCAGACAGTGGGAGAGAGTGAGAGAAAAGACTATCAAAGCCCGAGAGGGGAAGACTTTTAGCTACCTCTCACCACATGAAAACGTTCAATAACGTCCTCTACAGTCACCAGAAATATGTCAATAAGAATAAAACATTTAAGTTGTAAAATGTAGTTAAAGTTACCACAGTTAAATGTGGTGAAAACTAGAATAAAATAATATTGTTATCATTTAGTGTTAGCTAGTCTCAAACGACTGTATTTAAAGAAAGTAAAAAATAAAAAGAAATCTACCCAAATCTGTAATTTCTGCCTAGTAACAGTGTGAAATTATCACAGAGGTTTACCAAGCAGCTACTGGCAGTGTGTTCATGACAGGCTGTGCTGATAATGGGAGTCACCTATCTATCAAGGTCCTTCGTGCACACACGCCACCTCCCGCTCAGCTGCATCCATGTAGTTAGAGCTGGAACTGACGAGCAGCGGTTTGCCCTCATAATGTCTGGTTGTGTGCAGTTCAGGCTAGAGCAGAGATGAGTGTAAATGACTTTTTGTTGCTTATCTGATCCACGCAGCATCATCTTTTTGAAGTCGTCTTCAAAGCGTGCACTGTATTGTGAGATGGAGTGCCAGTGCAATGATGAGAGCCAGAAGAGGGTTTAGTGCAGATGTAAGCTCACTTTATTGAGGGTCATGGCACTGTGTATAAAATGCACATACACATGATAATTATTTTGTTTATATTTACTTTTTTTATTTTTTATTTTCAAAATATTGCAACTGTTTATTTTTTTTTTTTTTGGGGGGGGGGGGGGCTGGTATACTATGCTTGTTGAAAAAAAGTACCTCTATTTGAGAATGCAGTATTCATGTAAAATATTTTATTTATTTAAAATATTATTGACATGTACCATCAACACAACTAACAAATAATAACTCTGACAATCTTTAATTTAAAATTACTTTCAGAGAAAATTAATAACCCAAAGACCAAAATAAATATTTAATTATTGCACATTCTCATTCAATGACTCAAATTAATTTTTTTGGTTAAAATGATAAAACTCTTTTTTTTTTAATGTAGAAAACTGTAAGAACCATATAGTTGTTAAGATTACAGCTGTTTTGGTTGTCTTAAAAAATACATTAATTTAAATGCTAGAATAAAATTACACTGTTGCTGACCCCCCCAAAAAAAAATACAAATACATACATAATGTATATAAAAAATACTTACAAAAAAAATTCTCGTTATCATACAAGCTGAATTTTTAAAGCTGACATAAGTTACTCAAACTCATAACTACTAAATTAAATAATAAGTCAAAAATGATAAATAGCTTCAAAATATTTTATTCTTGCAAAATAAAGGCGGTAGTTCAACGCTGTTTATTCACCTAACGTAACATTTAAAGATCCAATTAAAAAAAGCAAAGCTTGATTGTTTTCATTAATATAAGTTTTAAAATATACAAAAGTATTTTAATCCATACATATTAATATATTGCTGTGTGCATTTCTCCGTTCAAATTGTGATTTATCTGCTTTAACCTACATGAAAAAAAATCGATCTCGTGCGATGCAGAAAGAGGACAATTTAAATGAAACTGAAAACTGAGCCGTTTATTAGACTAATACATGAATACCAAACAATTCTAAACCCACCTACTGTTTCAAATATGATTCTACAAAGTGCACTAAAAAAAATAGAAGATAGCGTCCAACGGAAAATAAGACACGTTGAGCTGTGGAAATTCTGCTTTCTTCTTCTCTCCAAATGCGTAGGTGTACTTCCGCTCCTCGATATACTACTAGTACCTGTACTTTTTACTTGTATATAACACCCGGGGATGAATTTGTTTTCGATAAACTGCGGTGACGCATCGGACAGCGATTGGACATCTTGGTTTCAACTCCTCCCTTATAATAAAGTGAGTGTGTGTGTGTGTGTGTGTTCCCGTTGTAAAACACAGCAATACCGGGCGTCTGCGTCAAGAGGACACACTCCACTCTGCGCAATTACGCGGACTCTTAACTGGCACAGTGATCAGACAAAAACGAAAAAGGCATTTCTACTGAACAAGACTGAAATGGACTTTTAATCACAACACCCTTCTAATTTCGAGGACTTGCTTTGAACACTTCAATGCAGTTTACGGCACACCAGCTGTGAATGTTGTGATATGATTTTTACGCGTGTGCTCTGAGCACAGCTTGTTTGTTTTATAAATATACTTTTTTCTTTTTAGATAGCTTTCTTTCTTCTCTAAAATTGGCTCCCGTACAAACAGCCGCGTTGGATCCCTCGGCTTACTGCGAGACTCCGGTGTATAACCCGGATCTCTGCCCTAATATGATAGCCGCCCAGGCAAAGTTGGTGTATCACCTCAACAAATACTACAACGAGAAATGTCAGTCTCGGAAAGCAGCCATCGCCAAAACCATCCGAGAGGTGTGCAAGGTGGTTTCGGATGTCCTGAAGGAGGTGGAGGTGCAGGAGCCCCGCTTCATCAGCTCTCTCAGCGAGATGGATAATCGTTTCGAGGGACTGGAGGTCATTTCGCCCACTGAATTCGAGGTTGTGCTCTATCTGAATCAGATGGGAGTATTCAACTTTGTGGACGACGGGTCCATTCCCGGCTGCGCCGTCCTCAAACTCAGCGATGGCCGCAAGAGAAGCATGTCTCTGTGGGTCGAATTCATCACAGCCTCCGGTTACCTCTCTGCGCGCAAGATCCGGTCGAGATTTCAGACACTGGTGGCGCAGGCAGTAGACAAATGCAGCTACAGAGATGTTGTCAAAATGGTCGCTGACACGAGTGAAGTGAAGCTGCGCATTAGAGACAGATATGTGGTACAAATCACGCCAGCTTTCAAGTGCACTGGCATCTGGCCACGGAGCGCTGCGCACTGGCCCCTGCCTCACATTCCCTGGCCGGGACCTAACAGGGTGGCAGAAGTCAAAGCGGAAGGTTTCAATCTTTTATCCAAAGAGTGCTACTCCCTGAACGGCAAGCAGAGCTCAGCAGAGAGTGACGCCTGGGTCCTGCAGTTCGCCGAGGCCGAGAACCGACTCCTTCTGGGTGGATGCAGGAAGAAGTGCTTGTCTGTCCTCAAAGCGTTGCGAGACCGTCACCTCGAACTGCCCGGGCAACCTCTGAACAACTACCACATGAAAACCTTGGTTTCCTACGAGTGTGAGAAGCATCCCAGGGAGTCGGACTGGGATGAGAACTGCCTCGGCGATCGCCTGAACGGGATACTATTGCAACTTATTTCGTGTTTGCAGTGCAGAAGGTGCCCTCATTATTTCCTGCCCAATTTAGACCTGTTTCAAGGAAAACCTCACTCTGCTCTAGAGAATGCAGCCAAACAGACTTGGCGACTGGCGAGAGAAATACTGACCAACCCCAAAAGCTTGGAGAAACTCTGAGGTAAAAATAAAATATATTAGTTCACCTCGTCTTAAAAATGTTTTGAAGAGGCCTAATGAGCTCCTAAACGGACACAAAATATTGCCAACCGATTTGCAAGTCTTGTGAAATGTGACTGTCCTCTGTTGTTATGTTTTGGCCTAGCCTGTTTCAAGATGATTTTCTTTTTTAAATAACAGCCTAGCTTGTCACTCTCCCCGTGCACCTTTTGGAGGTGTCAATACTTAAATTTAAATTATTGGCTAATCCAGGAGGCCACCTCAGAAGTGGTTCCTTCCCTCTCCGTGTCACACGGCTGCCTAAATCCTGCATTTCCTTAAACGCTTTAGAATAAAGCCCGAGACAACCTTTGGAAAAACAAAAAAACACATCTGTACATTTTATACTGTAAATACATTCATAGATTGTGATTCGAGTGGTCTGAAATTGTGAATGTTGTTCTGTGACACGTAAATAGGATCCACCTGTTTAAATCTACTTCTGAACTTTTTTTTCTTTATCTGGTAGAAACGTTTTTAATTTATACTTGCATCAGTGGTAGTCTGATTCACCTGTTTCAATGGACTTTTTCTAATTTTTAAAAGTTTACATTTTGATGGTAGGCGTACGGCATTTTGTTACATTGAAAACATTCCATCGATTTACTTGAATTATTATTTAAAGTACAAACATTTGAATTGTTTTTTCTCTACCGTGCTTAGGCCTACATGATTTAAAAAAAGAAAAGAAAAGAAAAGAAAATGATAACATATATATAGTATAAATATATATTACAGTTTAATTGGAAAAAAATGCACTTGAAATACACTGGATTATAACATCTGTGATCTGTTTTTTTTTATTTCTGTCTTTGATCTAATTTAAAGAGCTAATAAAACGAGCTGTTTTATATTTGTGTCCCATTATGGTTTTATTAAATGTGTATTTGAAATAGTGAAGTAGGCCTAATGCGAAGAAATAATTATTTATTGGAACTTTTCATGTTGGGGGTCTCGTGCTCTCGTTAGTATTCTACATTTCAAACTTTCCAAAAGAAAAGAAGGGAGGAAGAAAGAAAAAAAAGTAATTTTCTTATTTAACGTTTTCTTATTCAATATTTTAAAGCAATCTAGCAGATTGAAAAAAGAAAAGAAAGAAAAAATGTATTAAGTACACAGCACTGGGGTCCAAAAATATGACCTAATAACAAAAATCTGAGCAATAAACTTATTCAAAAAAATAAATAAAAAAATACAGAGCATATGCGGAAGAGCGGAGGACTTTATTTTTCAAGAAAACATGAAATCTCGCGTTTTGATTTTATATATAAATAAGACGTAAATGCTTAACACCTGTAAGACGATTGCAACGGAAGGGCAAAAAACACCGAGAAGCACGTCTGAAACCAACTGGCCGCTTTAAACTTGAGCTGTACACTTGCTTGCAGGTTACTTACCTTTGAGTCGACCCTTTTGAAGGCAGGGTCATCCTCGTCCACCTCAAAGTAGATTTCAGTGGTGGTGATGGACAGAGTCCCCCGAGCCACCAGGACAGGGGCAACAAGCTGGGACGGGCTGCTCAGGACCACTGGGCCTGTAGAGTGCAGAGGGGATGGCCACATGCTCAATAAGTAACGCGCAAAAAATAAAAAAGATTATTACTCTTTTTTTTAAAAAAAAAACAATTATTATATTAAGTAAAGCGAGATAAGTGTAATTCCGCTAAACTGCCCAATGCGATTACAGTGGGTGCCATCATCTCGCGGCCGATTATCCACAAATCCCAGATGTACAACTACAATCTGTAGTTATAATTATGAATGTATTTGAATCTTTTTTCAAGTATTGCGTTTTTTTTATTGAAACCTTTAATTCATCAATATAACGTGTACATTGCGGCAATTGTAGGGTTTTTAAAGGCCTGTTTCTGATAGTGTGCATCCGTACATGCGAAAATACAGCGTATTCAGTGGAGTTATAGGGATGTAATTAAAAAATTATTACAATAAATTTCAATATTTATATACACTATTAAGGAGAACAAAAAAATGCTTTTGCAGTCTGAATGGTTTCCATAAAGGCAATCCAAAAAAGAAAAGAAAAACGCTCTTATTATACATGAGATTAAAATGTGATTTTACACAATTGTTATTCAAGACTGTTTTGACAGGGACAAGCCAAGCGACGAATTCGGAAAATTAAATATAAAAATGACAATAAAAAACAGAAATAAATGGGAAAAAAAATACTCTAGTAAACCTCGTTTTCAATTCCAAAAAGTCGTCGAGAGTGTTAAGGTGGGCTTGTGGCCCTGGTCAGCTGATAGTGATCACATCTTTATTTCAGTCTCCTCCCTCCTTCTCCTCCTTCTCCTCCATGTTCTCAGATCAGTGTCGCTGTGGAGTACCGTTACAGTGATTTGTCTGCTCTCAAACGAAACCTCTCGAAATCAGGATATTTATCGATTCCTTAAACTCCAAAGAGCCACTTTAATGTCTCATCAATCTTAATCTGCGCTCCTCGGCCAATTATGGCCGCTAGTGTTACAGGAATACAAGTGGATTTCGGTCTCAACTCCCAGAGCGCCCCTTCATCGCTCTTGCAGGCTGCACAGTTAAACCGCCCTCCCTGATTTTTTTTTCTTTCCTCAGCGTTGCTCGGATCCATTAACGGTGATCCTATCTGCTGATGCTATCAGCGCAGACGCTACACGTTGCTTACAAGCTTCATATAAGTAACCGGTAACCTCAAGCCTGTTTTTCTGCATGTCTGATAAGGTCTGGTGTATTTGTTTAAAAAGAGAGCGAGAGAGAGAGAGAGAGACAGCGAGAGAGATTAAAAAGGGAGGGGGAGTACCAATAAGAGTGAAAGTATGTGAATTTGTTTTTACATTAAAATAATATTTGAAATACAATGGATTCTTTTTGTCATAAAGCGTTGAGCGACAATAAAAGTTGACTGCCCTTTTGTTCACACCAGCCCTTAAATTATAAAGCGTTCCACCTCTTACTAAAAGTAACACCTCTAGGACTAAAGCATTGTAGATTTGCCCTGAAGGACTAGGCACAGAGAAATGCTCACAGCATCCATTGCTCATAGGCAGGAAGAGGATTAGGCAGTAATCCCCTCAGGGATTCTTCCATAATTAGGCTATATGGCATTAAAATGTTTACATGAGAATAATGAAATTAGGGGCAAGTTACACAGGACGAGTTGCACAGCATGAGTGGTCTATATAGAGTAAAGCTTAAATTACCAGGCTGATGGGCCTCTGTCTTAAATAAAATGCAAATATTTCTTAAATGACAGGCCAATTTAATGAAGTGATGAAAAGTCTCATTTCATTGTGGTGGGAGTTTGGGAGAACCGCTGAGAAGATGGGTATATTATTACCCACAATCCATCTAGTGGACTGCAGTGTTTGATTAGTGCGTTTAGATTTTATATTATGACAGAAAGAGAAAGGGACATGGGTTACAAGCATACCAGAGGAGTATCATTTACTTACACGTCCACTTATAGCAGATACATATATATTTACATACAAAGACATGACTTTTTTAAACTACGAAAGTATTTACAGATGTTTGAAATGACAAAACAAATTTGGGAACAAAAATAAACTTTTTCTCTTCCTCTCCCATCCTTTGAGATTTACGTTCATAAACATTATGTTGCTTTTTTCTTTATGAAGATGTTACATCTCAAGGGATCGACGCTATGAATGGAGACCTAAAATGGATTCAGAGAGCCTAAATTAGGGAGAACAAAATGGTTGCGGTGCCTAAACCACACTTTGGGGTATATTAACATGGTTCTGGGATGCCAGCTGAGCAGTCATATTTACAGTCTCCTCTTTGATACGAGAGACAGTCTGCGAGGAGGCTCTGACTTCTCCGTTCTTTGTTCTCACACACACACACTTCTATTTTCACCGATTTTGGTAACAATATGTGCATACAAAAAGGTTCATTTAATGCCAGCCCAGGCATAGACAGCATTTCCACTGTTTGTGGGGGGAGCAAAACTAATCATAGGTTCAGTAACCACAACTGCCGGAGCCCATGAGTGCAGGCGCCGCCCCTTTGGCAGCAGTTGCAGGCACTGACCCAGTGGCTGGCAGGAGGAGCGCTGTTGTTGACAAGGATCTAGTCTCAGATCTGTCTTTAAGGCTGTTCATGCCTGAGATTAGATACAGGACAAACATAGACAGAGCATCCTGGTAAAAACATTACCCAAATGTTACAGTGCAGGGGAGCTGCCCTACCGGTAAAAAAAAAAAAGAAAAGAAATGCATTCAACTTCCATTTATCACAAATAGTTATATACATAGTTAAACCAGAATTTACTTATCAAAATCAGTGTCAACCTTCACATTTTGGTTCCTAATTTCAGCTCACACTTCATAAATGTATCTCAAATATTCAACCTCATGATTTCTGTTTTGTACAGTATCATTATTAATTCTCTGAGGATAAAACACTTGGTTTGTATGCTAGCTCTCGCGTTGGAGTTTAGGCAGACCAGTGCAGGGTTCATCTGACAGACATGAGTGTTTGACTGCCTGCTGGCCCTGGGACAAAAAGGAGGGGTTAGTGTCCTCCTCTGAGATTCATCTGTGGGATCTTAGAGGGGATTTCACTGCTCAGCAGTGCCCTGGTTCAGACTGACATCCATATGCTAAGCCACAATAACTCTGTAATGCACCACTGTGAAAGAGAGATGTTTATTTAAGTGTCTGGCAATAGTTTTTAGACTATTCCCTTTCACTACATTTTTTTAAAAATGACAGTTTGTTCCTGGAATGAATAAATTCGATTCATGCATTTATATCTGTTACTGTCATGCAAGTTTGTTGCAGCTCTGGTTTTACAGGATTTGGAAATAACAGTTTGGCAACCTAACAGCTACTCAAGTACTAAGATTGTGCAATCATACCACTGAAACTGCAGTTAAACCAACAGAACCTGGTAACATCTTCTAATTATCCTGTTCAGTTTTGTTAGTTTTGAAGACAAGCCAACCACCATGAATGTGCTATCAGGGAAAAACAAATGACAGCACATAACATTTAAACAAAATTTACATCATGACTGAAAAGGCATGTCGGCCAAGAGCTAAAAATGTTATGTATATACAGCATTGATGCAGTGTGCGTTTATTTATATATTCTGAAATTAAAACAGCATCCCATGACAACAGCAACTGCTAACAAAGAGTGATGGGCTTTCACCACTTGTAGAAAAACTGCATCTACTTTTTTTTTTTGCTGCTTTTTGTTCTTGTTCACCAGACAATAGAAACATTTTTTGTTTTTGTTTTTTCTGAATGTAGAATGACTGCTAGGGTTAAGTATTCCTTTATATTCTAATAAAATAAATAACTTTAGGCATCGCACACACACAAAAAACATCAATCACCAGTTGTTTGCATGAGGTGTTAAGTGAAGATCTGGCTTTATCGACAAGAATGCAGTCCAGCATTCTTGAGCTGCACTCAAAGCTGAAGCGAACTCTGTCTAACTTGCCTTTTAAAGCTATGCCGAGGTTCAAAGGCAGCACAATTTTCTCCAGACATGTATTACTCTGGTCAAATTACAGACGTTTTGGCCAACCACCACCTTTACAGTATGCTACACCACTAACTGAATTGTGCTAGACAAAGTATTAAAGCTGTATTAGGATACTGACTGTGAAGTCAGACAATAATCATACAGGTAACACAAATCTAAGATGTTTTAATCAGTACGATTTCTATTCTTTGGCTCTTCAGAATTAAATAATGCAGCAGAATTAAGAATAATTAAGCTTCTTTAACACCCAAATATAAAAATCGATTCTATTTTAAACGTTTTCCATTCAATAGATTGTATCTATTAAAAGTGTGACTTATTATGTTATAATATACAGTAGC